GGTACGGGTTTGGGGCTTTAGGGATTTAGGGGTCAGGGGTTTAGGATTCAAGGGGTTTAGTGGCTTAGGGGTAAGGGTGGTACGCAGGCTGTTCGGATATGTTCGACTTTCCTCTATTTGCGAGTTTTTCTGTGACTGTATGGTGCCAACAGAGGTGACAATCTCCCCTGGCTACTGCCTCCTCCTGGCGACGATAACGGCAACATGCCTCGAATTTCTCCAGAATAGACTTTCAGGAAGGCTTGATGGGCTGGGTGATGGTTTTGCAGGCGGATTCCTGGATTTGAAAGCTGACCTGTGCAATCTGGAAACGCAAAGCCTGAAAGCTTCAATTAGATCCAGGATGAGTTTGGGCTTTTTTGGTACTGGAGTATCCTCACGTGCGGACGCGTAAAGTGCAAAGGGATTGTTTATACTTGCTGCTCAAGGTCAGAACTCATAGCTTCTGGACAGAGGTATTATAAAACTATAGGGGCCTCAATAATTACCTATACTATTTTGGTGGCTCCTTATTATAACTATCGTATAATGGGCCCCAAAACCTTGTTCCAATGACTATGGCTGCTACATCATGGTACCCTTCTAGTAACACTTAGAGACCCCCTTTAACTGAACCCCTATTCTCATGATTAAGGCCCCTATATGGGAGTTTCCGAAAATAGGGGACCCTAATATAGTACCATAAATAGTAGGATCCCTATTATAAGGACCCCATAATAAGGTCCCCTAAATTTCGGAAACTCCCATAGGAATCTCCTTGGCAGCTGGCTCAGTGCCCTGAACTTGGCAGCCTCTGCCCGCGGCTCTAAGCGACCTGATCTGGGAACCTTTACTGTACAATACTCTAGAGAATACCATAGTATACTATACCTACGGTTGATGATATATTTGCGGCATTACCTTAAGGACCCTAAACTGTGGGAATTTTGGTATATTCCCTATTATGGGTACATTGGGATTTGTATCATCAACTATCGTACACTATACTACAAGGCCTACCTTCACCAAAACAGCCCGGGTCCAACGACGGGCTTTTGGGCTGGATCGGGAAGCGGGATCTTGACTGGCATGCTGTTCAGCTCTTGTGGGAGTAAGCAAAAAAAAGGAACCCTGAAAGCAGTGCGCACGGCAACCCTGATAATACCTATAGTCTCCGTTTTCGGGTTGCGCTACAGGATCACAATCATAACAATTCTTAGACCATGAAATGGGAACTACAATTGAGACAGTAGGGAGCCCACAAGCCCTAAACCCTTGCGGTTTGAGGTGACCGGTGCTCTGGAAGAGTGCATGGCTGTGGGGCGGGGTGGAGCACCGATTCACGTAGCTGCATGGCAGCACACCTCGAACCCCTGGTAGGAAGGGTTTACAGCAGAAGGTCTACTATGAGCATTGCCTCACGGTGCCAGGTGTTGGCCAACCTACTACTAGTATCAGTGATTACATGCAGTAGTACCGACACTACCGATAAAGATCGCTGCCAACCACAGTGGTTGAAGCGACGGTAGTGAAAGGTGTTGTCGTGCTTGCAGATATTTATGCTGCGACTGGCATCGGTATGTTTATTGTTCCGGGTTCGGTTACATGCCAGTTCCTGCTCATGAAGCTGGGTATCCAAGCCGCGTTGCTGTTGGCATAAGCAACAGTCCGAGCAGGACAATTAGCAGTCCTGACGAGGGCGATGGTATAGTCGCTTGTAGCCGCCGGTAAGAGAGCCACGTCCTCGAGGCGACTTTATTTATCGATCTTTTTCAGGGTGGGAATGTCAGCAAGGCAGCAACAGAGAGACCTAAATAATTACCAATACTATTCTTTAGGGCTCCTCATTATAACTTTACTATGAAGGAGCCCAAAACCTCATTCCAATTATTAAGGCCCTTACATTAGTTCTCGCAAGCTTCAGGTCTTGTCCTCTTTGATTGGCCACGTCTATGGCGTGACGCTGTGCTGGGTCATGGTTTGCTTGAAACTGCTCTACCACCTCTGTGACCGCTTCGCCATGCCGTTCGAGCCAGGCTTATGCAACTACATGCACCTCTGCTTCAGATTCGAATGACGAGAGCGGAGCATGTCAGCTACGGTGCATTTTGTTTACGGACGGCGATTTGCTTTCAGAAAGCCTACACTGCAGGATACCTGGCTAGTACACTATTACTGCAACTCCTTCTGCTACTACCACCACCAACACTACCATGATTATCAGTACTTAGGCTAACACGACTACTTAGACTAGTATGGCTACTTTGCCCACTGCCTCCTCCTACTGCTGCTACTACTACTGCTGCTACTACTACGCCGGACACTACTACTACTACCACCACCACCACCACCACCGCCACTACGACGACTACTACTACTACTGCTACTACTACTCCTACTGCTAACTACTGCTACTGCTACCACTATTACTACTTACCGCCACAACTACGACTGCTGCTCTAGCCAAGGCGGACCCTTGCGGTGTACGTCATGGTCGGCCTCACCTTCCTCGCAGGGGCCGTCGTCGGAGAAGTCTCGTACCGATGCTCTGCTTCGGAGTTCTATTCTGAGGGTTTAGGGCTTAGGGTCTAGGGTTCGGGGGTTTAGGGTTTAGGTGTTTAGGGTCTAGGGTGTGGGGGTTTAGGGTTTAGGGGTCTAGGGTCGAGGGTTTGGGTTTAGGATTTAGGGTTTGGGTTTGTTAGTTAGGGTGCTTTGAGGGGCTCCTAGAAGGGTTCCATCCTGTAGCGACCTGAAAGGTTAGAGCGGGGTATTGGGCTATGTTACTTGGAGGATCAGGGGACTTAGTAAGTATGGTTACAAGTCCCTTCATTGGGGTTATAAGTAATTATAGGTATCGTTACCTTATTTATAGCCCGAGTTACCAAGTCCCATGATCCTTTAAGTAGGATATAGTTAGAATAGGGAACCCCAGGGACTAGTATCGGCAACTATTGAAAATCTGGTATGATTACATCCTGAAGAGTTGAGAGTTGGGTATTGAACCCGAATGCGGATCCGAGTGCATTGAAGCTGAGGATATAGCTTATTGGCCTCTGCAATGTTTGCCGTCTGTACCTCGTTGGCGTGCGGCTTTGCTTATGGCTGGATCAAAATATGTCCGGGCGGGTGCACGCCGGCTTTTTGCTTGCGGCAGGATCTCCCTCAAACGAGGGCAGAGACCACGCCACATCAGATTCCTCATGTGACATAGCTTTCCCCTCCCCTTTCACTCAGTGCTGTCAAAGACCTGAGTCTCGGGTGTAGGTTTTCCCCACAGCATGGAATGCTGCAACATCAAGCGAGACCATGGCCGTCGGTCAAGGCCCGCATTTAGACTTCAATGCATCTATGGACGAATCACTGTCCACTTCGTTGTTTGGCAGACGCTGGATGACTGCAGCCGCTTCGAAATCAGTGGCAAGTCTGCCGGTTTCACTACCTGAAATGCCGGAATCGCGAAACCCCCCCCCCCCCCGACCACGACTGCGCCCCGTAAACTGTTGCAAGCCCAGACGTCCTAAACCCTAAACCAATGCTCTGATTGCCATGTGGCGCTTAGAATACCTGGGGAGCAGACCAGCGAGTCCGGGGGAATGTTAGGCCTAAAGTGGAAGTGGAAATGCCAGGTATAAGCACGAGAGGTGGTTCTAAAAAGTGTCCTTGTATGGTTTTCGTACCACTTGCGCTTTGCCCGAAACCCTGTGCGCAGCTGATGCAAAAATGAGCGCCTCTGCTTCTCCTGGCGGGCATATCATACTGTGGAATTCCCATCATAATCCTTGTACAGGTACAGTACAAAATTTCTCTGAAACCCCACTCCAATGATGAATCAAGCCCGACAAGATATCTGCTCCAGGGACCTGCGGGAATCTCGGGGCCAGGCTCCACAGCTAAGCTCCAACCCGCGGATCGACCGAAGGCCCAAAACTTCCTAAGGAATCTATAAGAGTTCTATGTAGGGTTTAGGGTTTCAGGGTCCATGTACCCAATTAGGTGGTTGTCAAAATGATGGTCATTTTTTGGGTCCTTATTATGATACGGCACCCAATATTTAGGGTACCCAAAAAGGGGCCATAATTTTGACAACTACCCAACTGCAGCACGTATTCTAGGGGCCCACTAGGGCTTTGGGGCACGGTATAGTTCAGCTATACTTGGACTAGAACGGTATAGCATGACTACTTGTTCAGACCCCCTTTATGCTCAAATCGAAACCTTAAAACCAGAGTTGAAATCTTGTGGAGAGGTCCACTTGAAGGATCAGGGGACTTAGTAAGTAAACCCGAACTGGGGTTATAAGTACTTATATGTATAGTTACTCTATTAAAACCCAGTGCCATGATCCTGAAGGCATGAGGTCTCGACCCTCACGACTTCACATCACAATGCGGCCCAGAGCCTTGAACTTAAATCCTGGACCGCAAGACGTCAGCCACCTCTGGGGGTTTCCGAAAATTAGGGGTACCTTTTGTGGGGGTTCAAAACGGGTCCTGCTATTTAGGGTACCAAATTAGGGTCCCCTATTTCCGGAAACTCCCATATCCCGCAATCCTAGAAGGCTTTTTTTACTATAGGGGCCTAAATAATTACCAATACTACCTTGGGGGTTACTTATTCTAAGTTTAGTATAATGGGCCCCAAAAACCTATTCTAATTGTTAAGGCCGCTTCTTTAGGGCTTGGGTCCCAAGCATCCGAAAAGCTGTTCAAGGCCGGGGCACAGAATTCGAAAACCACAGTTCAGGGCCGAACCAGCCAAAAATACCAGTAATAATAATAATAATCATAATAATAGTAATACTAGTAATAATAATAATACTAGTAATAGGGTTACCAGTAATAACAATATTACTACTAGTAATGGTGTTATTGAGAATAATGGAAAAATGCTACTAGTAATGGTAGTAGTGTTATGAAAAATAATGATAGTAGTAAGAAATAACAGTAAGCATACTAGTTGTAGTAGTGCTACTAAAACCAAAGGTAATAAGAAGAGAAGTGATACCGCAATGCCCCACCCAGGTCGTGCACAAAATTCCGCGGGTGCTGGCCATTCCGCAAAGGCGCCACACCAGTGAAGGGAACTCTCAGAACGTGGTAACATTGATGCCAGAGTACTTACCCATAGTTTTCCTTTAGGTTCTTGGCGCTCCTTTTGGTTAATTATTCTACTGGAGTATACCCCCTAAAACCCTGTTCTGAGCAGGCCTCTATGCCAAACTCGAACAGTATTCTTTCAACCTACAGTCATTGCTCGGCTTGTAGCATATGGTCGGGCTCGCTTCAGCACTGTAACATATAAGGTTTGTTACACGACGCCGTTCAGAAAGACGGGTTGCAGACAGGAGGAGATTGAGGATCTGCGCTGACTGTCAGCTTGGGTCGTTCTGAAGCGCCCAGGGATATGAAAGCTTCACCCCTTAGCCAGAAGAGAGGGGTTTTAAGTTTGGGGATATGGGGTCTTGACCTCGGTTTCCTTATCATAATATCATCGAGTCTACCCAAAAACCACAGTCTAATGATCGAGGCCGCTAGTATTAGAGTTTTGGGTTGGAAGGTTTCGAATTCGGACTCGTGTGCCTTACTTCGGTTTAGGCTTCGAGAGGCTGTTAACAAGGGTTATAAAGCACGTAACTACAGATACTTGGAATGCTAGGGACCCTTAAAAAGGTGGGGGGAGGGGGTGGTAGGGCCCCATAATAAGGACCTAAGAAGGCTTATTTTAGGAAGTTTTAGTTCCCTACCCCCGTCCCCCTTACCGTCCTAAGGGTCCCTCTGGCGCAATCACTTATGGCCCTAAGCCCGGAAGCGTTTCGGGTCTAGTATCCTTATGGGTGGGGGGCTCCAAGCGGGTGGATAACCTACTCCTACTGATCCCAAGTTCTCTCTGGTGCCCTGCCCCCCGAAGGTTCCTTCAAGGTTTCCTAAAAATCCCCCATGAACCACACCCACTTAAGGACCCTATAAGCTCTGGAGCATCCCTGCGTCCTGGTCCTCAATACCTATCTAGATGACATGAAGTAGTGTTGGTGTTTATACAAGGAGAGTGCGGATCAAGCATAGTCTTAGCAGGAGGGCCAGCAAAAACGACAATCCTATAAGGCTTTCTATAGGGCTTGGGGCCCATGTTTCTATAGTTATCAGAAGGCACCTCCAAAAGAGCATTAGTAATTATTCAGGCCCCCATATTGGTTTGCGCTGGTTTCGACGGTTGACGCCAGCGGCCCACGAAAGCTCGGTCTCGACCCCCAATGAGGCGGTCAAGATGCATCCGGGCCTGGAGGTGCTGGCTTATTCGGGTTTCGAGTAAGGGCTTGGGAGTTTAGGGCTTGGGGTTTAGGAGTTTGGCTTTGGGGTTTAGGAGTATGGGGTTTGGGGCTTAGGGTTTGGAGTTTCGGAGTCCGGAATTGCCTGGGATGCTTTAGACTGGATTCTGGAGTACCATACTTTGAGAAACTGTTTTGGGGGATCTGTTCTTAAAGGAGCCATAATAAAATCAAAGTGTGCGTTTTCTCCCCAGTTACTTCAAAGCCCAGTTAAGGGTTTAGGGTTTCAGGTTAGGCCGCAAGTACCTCGATACGTAGCTTATTGGAAAGATTCAGCTCATGCACTTCGCTCTGCAAGGTTCTTCTACTCGACTACAACACTTGACACTGTCTCTAGGGGCTTTGATACTTCAATAGGGCTTTAACAAGTTTACGAAAGGGTTGCATGAGGTTTGAAAGACTACGACGCGATACTATTACCTGACCTGTCCTTTTGATTTTTCCTCGTGATGGAGTTAGTCTTAGGCATGCGAGGTTGGGCACGGGCTGTGGCCAGAAAACTCTAGACTCTAGTTGGCATGGGCGGCTTCTCACGTTCTTCCAGGTTCGAGTCTTCGGGGTTCGACAGAAACATGTGGCGCACCAGCACGAAATTCCATCTGCTTTACCCCCAAGCCCGAAGCCGCAGACTTCATCCCTGAACTCCACCCTAGGTAAGCTGCCCCAACTCTACCCCCACACTGGAACAGATGTTGTCTGCTTCCATTGTTCTCTTCGCTGATTTCTCTATCGGGCGTTGAGCAAGATGTATTCTGAAGGAAGCCCTCTTGCCTTCAACCCTAAACCCGACAACCCGAGACTCCCCCTTAACCCAAACCCTAAAAGCCCAAACCCTTCACCGCGAATTATAAGAGCCCTTCCAGTGCCCTTTATGAAGCCTTTCAATAACCTTCAGCGAAGCGGGGGTTTAAGATTCTTGGGGTAGGGATTCCTTAATATGAACCCTATTATGGGAACCCTAATCCCTACTAAACCCTTTATATAAGAATTTTGGACCCCTGTTGAGGCCTTCTTGCAACGTCTAACGGAACTCCACAGAAAGCTCAGCCTGCTGAGGCCTGCCGAGCCGGCGACGCCTCCGCGCTGAAAGCCGAGCTGGCATCGGGAAGGCTTAGGGTTTAGGATGTAGGGTTTGAGGCTCCATTATGAATATTATTCAACTGTTACGACATAGTAGGGGTATGATTGAGGGCTTCATATCTACTGTATCAGTATTGTTTCGCATACTTTAGCAGTTTTTAGCAGGGCTGCTCGTTACCATTAAGGGCTTAACATGTCTATATTATCAGTATTTTCAACTGTTGCTGAGTGGGTGCAGTACCCACGTTATATCCAAAATACATCAACATGTTATATACCACATAGTGTCTAGCATATGGTCTGTACGGTATGGATTATTTGCTAGATGTTGAATCGTGTGTGTGCCCTTAGGGTTTGGAGGTTGGTGAGCTTTGAAGCGTCTTTGACCCTGGTATTGGGCTGCTTGCTGTTGTGGTTGTGCGCCAACTCTCCACTCGGAATAGACTCCAGGCTTGACACCTACGGACGAAATATGGGAATGTTCAGTTTCAGTGTGTTGGGAGATGGTTTGAGTTTAGCCATAGCCAGTACCACAAGGGAACGTTGCAGCAATGTCGGGCGAGTGGTGCAGGGTTGGTCACGAATCTACAGTGCCAAGCACACACACACACACCTACACACACTTTGGCTTGGCTTGAGTGAATGCGACGAGCGACCGACAGAATTTGACGAAAGCTGATTTGAAAGATGCTTCAGATTGTAGCAACCGTGCACAAGGCACTCAATGATCCAGCAGTCCGCAGCGAGTATAATGTACGATGTCATAAACGGCAAGTACACAGTGGTGATCAGCCACTGCCTCCACTCCAGTGACTTGGCTTCGTTGGGCAAGGCTTGTCAATGCAGCCTTTGCCCCTTGCTTATGAAATGAGGCCATGTCCAGGCGTTTTCACACGCACACACACTCACGCACGCACGCACGCGTGCCTCAAGCCATCAATCCTTGTATCCTGATCATTGAAAACCAAAGCCCAACCAATCTTCAGCACCAAGCTTACCTTACTATAAGCAGTGCCGGAAAATTTTTGGGAGATCTGGCGTCCCTTGAATTTCGGCATATCGTGTACCACTTTTGCAGTCTGAAAGTCGAAGTTGAATTCACCAGATCCCTCAATCCCGGCACCGCTTTGCTGTTTATGCCACGAAGATGCCAAATAAAAAGCAAGCAACTTGCTGCCTAGAGCCACGGCGCATTAAATCCTGGATTCAAGACACAAGGCCTTGAAGCAGGTTCAACGTCAGGCCTGAATAATCAGAGCACGGTTATTGAATATAATACAATTATTTGAGGACTGTACGGGAATGTTTTCATTTCAGAAATAGACCATATATTGTTATTTCGTTGGTTTCTATACAGACACACATAGAGTACATTTGTATGTATGCATGTATATATGTTGTGCTTCATAATTCACATAAATGTTGCGAAACAGGGACTGTACCAGTACTATACGAAGCCTTGAGCCAGCTTCGACGCGGCCTCCACGCTCGACCGCTTCGGTGGGACAGTCCAGGGGATTGGGTGCAGTAGGACTTACGATTTGGGGGTTTAAAGGTTTTTTGAGGGATTTACAAGGGCTCAAAGCGCCTCAAAAGGTTAAGGGGTGTTCTTCGAGGGTTTTGGGGTCGGTTTGGGGCATGTTGGGGCTTATAAGTAGGGGCTTTGAGGACGCAAGGTGCAGCATGTACCATGGCGGTAAATGAACCAGTGGGCATGAGCGACCTGAAGGTTTAACCGAGTTTTGCAGCTCGTCCAAGAGGTGCCTAGACTTCAGGCCACTCCTGATTGGCTTAAATTGCCATATTGGAGATGATGTTTTCAAAAGGGGTTCAGGTTTCAGGCTAAAGGCTTGACTTAGCAAACGTGGTAGGCATCGCAGGACGGCCTTCGGAGGACGTCCGAGCAGGTTGTCGTTGGCTAGTCAATGAATCTTCACGAGGAGTAACACTCTGGCATGGAGACTGCACGACCTTGTTCTTTCCTCATGAGACGTCGCCCCACCCCCTTATACCCAGAAATGAAGCTCCACGTCGTGCAAACTGTGTTTCCGAGCAACACATCAAGAAAGAAGGTGATGGAATTGGCTATCGACCTCCAGGGTCTACCGCTCAAGTATTCAACCGGGCTCTGAACCCCCGAACTCGAAGGCTGTCAGTCAGGCAAGACGTTACGGAAGCTTGAATAATGAGTAACGCTGTTCTTAAGGGTTCCCGATGATTTCAATTCTACAAGAACATGTCCTCCAAAGCCTTAATTCTTAGTATGCCGAACTATGGTTTGAGGCAATGCTAGCGTTTACCTCCGAAACTTGATTGAAATTTTTTGAGGCCACTTTATTTCAGCGGACCTGCAGGAGCGGATTGCATTGGGCCGCTAGCGGTGGCCACTTAGAAGCCGCTCGGATGGGGTGCACTCCTACGGCCCTAGGGTGTAGGGTTTGGGGGTTTTAGGGTTTAGGGTTTAGGCATGCACATGGCTCCCTGCATGCTTCCTTTTTCTTCGCCTGATTCCCCTGGTTGTTTGTATGCTGGCTTGCGAGATTTGCTCCCACACATCGCGGTGGTAGGCAAGGCACAAGTATGTATGCGTGTTCATGTACGTGTACTTATGTCTTCACGTGCTCACCTACAATCCACGGATGCCTGCATGCAGACTGCCAGACCTCGGTGTTGACACGTGGCGCATTCGCTTTGGTTGCACCCCGATAACATTTGGGCTGATGCAGATGAACTACCGCGAGCTCTGAAAGAGCTTCTATTCAAACAACGTGGGCAGCTTGAGCATGCCCTCATTTCCATCCCGGATGCCGTGCCTTTGCATTGGGGGAACCGAGGTTTGCAAGCTTCTGGTGGAGCACCAGGACAGGGATCCTATCCGTGGCCGTGATAAGACTGGGCAGGCTTAGGTCCCTTGCTTGGGTTTCGTAATTTGTGGAGTGCTAGATATTGGATGAGGTTGCGATGGAACAAGGAAGTTGTAGTGGGAAGAGTAGCGCGTCTGGGGCTGATTGTAATTGTGCTGCGGCGGTGGGGGTGTTGAGTGGAAGCCCAGCACATAACCCTGGTCGTTAGCTTGCACGCTCCGGAAGGCCTCTGTGACTTTCGCTGACAAAAAGTCGGGACGGAATGCACTACACTGGGCCTCGCGCCGGGGACCTGGTGTTGTGATTGCTTAACCTGGACTGGGGTGTTTTCTTTGTAGGGGTTTTTGGGTTCTGGATCACGGGAAAGACCCCAGAGCGACCCATAGCTCCCTCACTTCCTTGATGGCCCACTTTAGAGAAGACCTGTAACCTGGGTGCCGGTACTACTACGATTCTCCCCCCCATTCTAGCCTCAAGGGCCCGAATGTTCCAGCCCGACATATTACACCCAGCAAGCTCTGGCTAGCGGAAAAAGCTCAAAAACTGATGCTCCAGAGGTGCAGAGACGGGACAACCTAAGACCTAAAATTTAGTTCGTTCTTGCCTAGAGACCCCAAAGGCTCGCAGAGTATACGGGCCTGCATACTGAGAAAAGGTATTTTGGTGTATCTTATGCTTCTTTGGTATGTAGATAAAGACTATAATGGGGACAGCTTCCCGTAATTACTCTGACCCTTAGATTACCCGAACCCGGTCCTCAGGAACGTAATACTGCGCGGTTGGATTTATAATATCAGAAGTCTGAGTAGATAGCGTTGATGTCCCCGCATAGTCGTGCTAGAAACATACTAGATTGCGTCCCAAGGCTTATGGTATAAGGGAGCCCAAACCGTATTCTTATTATTGAGGCCCCTATATGATATTACCCTTATAGATCCCTTATCGTAGCCCTTATAGACCCCTTTAAGCAGCAACCCTATTCTAATTTTTAAGGCCCCTATACTAAACCTCCACTACACCCCTTTTCGCATTCCTTGTAGACCCTTTCAAAAGAACCCTTAAAGGAACCGAATTAACGCCCCTGTATTAGGCTCTCCCCCACCCGATGTCGCCAAGGCCAGGGCCATCTGTACCTTGGCCCAGATGCAAAGGTTGAACTGAGGGTTTAGGGTTTGAGGGAAGACAAAGAGTAGATTCGAAGGAGTGGTGGTAGCCACAGCAACCAAGACAATTGGAGCGGAAAACGCGGACGTGAGAATAGGAATCACTAAAAAGCAGAAGCGAGAGCAACACCGATTACGGGAGTGATGCTGATTGTGGTTGCAGCACGAAAAGTAGAAAGAAGAGGGCGCCGATGGCTTTGATTGCTGCAAAGGCTCAACTTCGTAATTTTGCGCCTTTGATGCAAGCTGCAAGCACCCAGATCACATGGCAAGGCATCAACCGTGAGCCTCAACCTGGAGCCCACTCCCTGATTCCCTTTATTCGCTCCAGGCAAGTCGTGAAGTGGTTCCCTGGCTGCAGCCAATCTGAAGCTGCCAGGAGTGTCAGCTCTTCCCAAAGTCTACAGTGCGCCTACAAGCTGCCTCACGAACGCCAGTTTCCCTAAACAGAATTTCTGCTACGACCGTACATAACAGTCTTACTTGGTCGAAAGACGGTTGCTGTGCCGAGCCTTGCTGCAGTCTTCCTGGCGCGTCAGCTGGCCACACGGTCAGAAACCCTAAGCACCGAAACATGCTATGTGATCGAATTCTATGCTTGTCTATATCATACGATAGTGCACTAGCCGTAGCATCAATCATTATACCATATTCGATTGTATCGTACTATCTTGATCTAGATGCAATATGATTACTTGTAGTGCATATGTTATTCATTTCTAGTCCATTCCAATCTAGTCTGTTTCATGTTGCTTTATTCCATTATACCATCAGATTCGGCTAGGTTTTGTGGTTTTCGTTTTATTTTTCAGTATACTAGTATACTGTTGTAGATTGAAGCATAACATACTATAACGTAGTATATTAACCCCAAATGGAGACCCATTACAAGCACAAGGCTCATCGAAGATTATGCGGTCGGCGTCGACACCCCGACGAAGGAGAGGGTTTCTGGTGCCACAGACATACAGCTCCGGGTAGTCTACTTGGTTGGTGACGACGGTCACGTCTGCAACATCTGTCGGGTTCCTATAACAGCCTCAACGACGAGGAGCATGTTCCTTGCTATTCTCCACCAGCAGCACAACAAACCTGGAACCACTGCTCCAGTTGCTTGCCTGGGTTGCGCAGCCGTGCTACGTTTTTGAGCTGCCTATCGGGGGTCTAGGCTCTGGTTTGGCCGTGTTCAGGATCTTGGATTTAATCCACCACCCAAGACCCTTGCACATGAAGCCAAGACTCGACTCGAAGCCTCCGACGCAAAGCTGCGGAGCTCAACCGCAATTTACGACGAAAGAAGGCTTCAAGCTCCGACCTGCAAGGACGACACCACTCCACTACAGCTGGCTGCGTGGGGTGGGCATGTCGAGGAGGGGTTTGAGGGTTGTCTTTTCTGTGGGTGTAGGTTGCTTTCGGCTGGTGTAGGATTTGAAAGAAGGTTGGATAGCAGCTTTGCCCTCAAGGTTTCTTGCTTCAGGGAAGGTTGGTTGCTTCTGGAACTCCCGCGCAGTTCTTCATTTTATGGTTATCTCAGTCAGCATCTGGAGGCCTGATCCTACTCGCCACAACCAGCGAGAACCTTGGCCCCCTCCGTGTGCTCAAATTGCTCGATGTCAAAATCCAGGCCCCCAACACACTCCAATTGTTCATCAAGTGTTTGAACTTGAAGCCTGTTTAGCAGTTCCTTTCACGGAGTTGCTTCAGCTCCCGGACAGGTGTGCGCCTGGCTACGCGAGAAGGGAGCTACTTGAAGCAATAGGTCAATGGCGGCGTTCGGTCGTTAGCTGTAGAAGGGCAGAAGTACGAGCTTCTCAATCGCTATCGAATGAGCCCCAGCCGCGGTCTCCACAGGCCCCGTAGCCACAGATTCTTCTTGATGGCGACATGAGGCGTCCTTGCAACACCGGAATTCTTGGTACTGCCTGGCGCACCACTTCGCTGCCTTGGCAGGCCAAGAGCCGGCACCGGCAACAAAGGGGCTTAGAAACTTACCTCTACTATTTTGAGGGCTCCTTATCATAATTGTAGTATAACGGGCTCCAATACCCTATTCTAATCATTCCGCCCTCTACAAAACTTTCGCCACTTCAGAAGTTTTCTTTCAGAGCATGAGTCATGGTTAAGTAGTAGTAGTAGTAGTAGTAGTAGTAGTAGTTGTAGTAGTAGTAGTAGTAGTAGGAGTAGTTGTAGTAGTAGTAGTAGTAGGAGTAGGAGTAGTAGTAGTCGTAGTCGTAGTAGTAGTAGTAGCAGCAGCAGTAGTAGTCATCGTAATAGTACCACCAAGATCTCCAAAGATCCATCGGCTACCGATGTAGCCAAACCCATTACCTGAAACCCATGAAGACGAAGAACTTCTTTTCCAAACAACAAGCTCTTGACAATCCCAATCGCCGGAACGGCCGGAGACTGTTGAAAATCCTTTCGAGCAGCGTTTTGAAACCCCAAGCGCTGCGCCTGAGACTGAAACTCAAAGGACTCGAAGACGTTCAACCAGAACACCCCACCATCTTACTGAATTTGAAAGTCCTTCAACCCGAAACTCTAGACCTGAACAAGATCTCCCGAAAGCTCACCTCCCTTGCTTTGCCGGCACCGAGCCAGGAATGCAAAAGACCTGTGCCTGGCTGCGGAAAGAAGGCATCGACTTGGCCGATACTAACAACCAAGGCACGCTCAGACAGAGTGGGTTCGGGTGGTCTGTACTTATCGGATCATGGGACATCAAAATACGAGGGAGTGACCAGTGTTATGAAGACAGTATCTAGAGCTTGAAAGGCAAGCTTCGAAGGGATTTGTTACCAATAGCATTCCCTTCAGCTTCCGCTTCTTCAAACCCAAACTCCCACTCCAGCAAACAAGGCCCCTATATTCGGGGTTCAGCATTTATAGACACAAGATTTCGCAACTGCCCCAGGTTAGACAAGGTGGAAGCTTTGGGCTGAGGCTTTGGATTTCAGCAAAGTCAAAGTGTGCGTGATTGCGTTTGATTGAGCCTTACAATTAGTTCTATTGTTGTTATTGAGAGTCATAAGAGGTAGGGTTACTTTTGGGCTGTCAGCCAAAAGCTGCGAAAGTCATCCCTCAAGCTTCGGCTCTCGCCTAGCACATAAGAAGCTCACTGCTCGCGCTGCATCAAGCGATAGAAAGGCGCAGAAATGACTCGACAGGGAATACGGGATCCGCACAGCTGGCGTTCTCCAGATGTGGATTCCCTTGACAGGGTGCCCATTCCAATGGGTGTGCGTGCATGGCATCAAGCATTCCAAACAGGACCCAGTTTTAGTGTACGATGGATTCATTCTCTGGAGATTGGATCTCTGTGCAGCGCACACTCTAGGGTTTTTAAGAACTACTAGTAGTATCACCT